CCCCCCCCCAAAATGAACAAATGGTCTAAAGGGTTTCTGTAGAAGATGAAAGCATCAGTGCCAAACTCCTCATCCTGCTTCCAACTCAAAAGAAGTGAAAGAAAGTTTGTTATTAACTTGTCATATTCTGACATGGTCATTTCTTATTTGCAGTGAAACCTAGGAAGGGTGATGCATTATTGTTTTTCAGTCTACATCCCGATGCAACAACTGATCCTCTAAGCTTGCATGGAAGCTGCCCTGTTATTGAAGGTGAGAAGTGGTCTGCTACAAAGTGGATTCATGTGAGGTCCTTTGAGACACCATCAAGTGTTTGTAAGGATCAGAATCCGAACTGCCCCCAGTGGGCTACTGCTGGTGAATGTGAAAAGAATCCTCTATACATGGTGGGTTCTGAAGATTCTGTAGGTCATTGTAGGAAGAGCTGCAAGGTTTGCTCCTGATAGCAATATGCACACAAAAATTTCTATTACATATAAGTAATACAGCAATCCTATCCTTAATCTTTGTATATCTAGGTTTGTACATTTAGTACCTTTTAGACAGATCAAAGTAAAAAGGATTTTTTTTTTTAACCCTTGACGGATTGATTAAGTGAGAATTTTTCGTGATAGTATTGATACTGGTCAAGGTTTTGACATTACCCTCAATCTTGCCCTCCTTGTTTCTTATCCCCATGGTTGCATTTTTTCCCTTTTCTTTTTTTTGAGGGATGAGGATCAATTACTCTTTTGCCGTACAAAATATCTTAATTTTATCTTATGTTATATACTTTTTTGGGAAGGATTGATCCAATGGATTTCCAGACCTCGACGTCTTAAAAGCTTTGCGGCAAACACATATTTAATAGCTTACTACACTAAGAAGAAAAATAGGAATTTAATGGGGAGGGGTTGGTTGGTCTTTAATCTGTCAATGAAAGTAATTATTTAGCATTACTGAACCTAATTATAAAATCAAAGAAGAAATGATTGTTATGTGATTTGTGATATCTTTCTAGTTGCATGATAAAATTTGCTTCTAAAAGGTGTAAACCTTTAGGCCAAGGGAAATCAAGTGCACAAAAAGAATTACTCAAGAAGTGAGTCAAATAGTCTGCGTCCAGCAATAATTATTTCTCAATTCCCAGCAAACTGGGATCGCCTCTATGAATTTTCGCTATGCTTATTGCTTCATTCAAGCTTATCTAAATTTCTTTTTGCAAGAGATGAGAGAAATTCGATGTCAATAGTGGTCATGAATCATAACTTGTTTGTCGGAGTTGTAACTTTAACGGTATTTTGATAAGCTTATAAACTGGTCAAATTTATCGTAACTTTGACAATATTTTGATAAGCTTATAAACTGGTCAAACTTGTATATAAACACATTTTAGTTTATTTGATTATTTGGTAAATAACAAAAGTATCAATAAAATACTTATAAGTTAAGATCAACCAGAAATCATAAGTTGGTTACTTCTGGCTTATACTTGTTCACTAATATAAGTACTTTGATTTAACCAAATTTTTATTATTCCAAATACGTTTTGGGAAATCTACACAATGTTGCTGCCCTCTAAAATAATAATTGATAAATATTTTTTTTATATTAATATATAATATACATATTTTATACGTAATCAACACTTTCTGCAGTTCTTGAAATGATGTTTCCAAAACAAAACCATCAGCTCACTCTTCACTTTATTTTTATAGTTCACCCTTTTTTCTAATAAAGATATTCTTAACTTATATTTTTTAATAAATAGATTTAAAGGCATTGATGCCATTTTTAACTAGAGTAAAGCTTAACACATTTTACCGAGTTTATTACAAAATTTAGCACTTGTGTAAAACTCGCAGCACTCAAAACTTAGATCTTATGGACTAGTCAGTAAATTCAAAGGCGCTCTTTATTTTGGAAAAAAGTTACAATTTGACTAGCAGTTCTGATTCATGATTAAATAAAAGAAGAAAAAAGGAAGAAATAAAAAGACTTTTATTCCTCGAGATTTCGTCACATAATTCCCAGTCTCCACTCTATCCAATCAGAGTTCTCAAGAAAATGATAAATGCTCAAAGTCGCTTCACCAATTCTGCGGCGAGCTAAGTGAGAGTCGGGGCTTAAGAAATGGCGGTTTCATAATCACATACTCTTCTTTCATTTCTTTCACCTCTCGGCTCTCGTTCATTCCCCGAGACCAGTTTACTTAGCTCCAATCCTTCTCTCGTCGGTTATGCTTTCACAGCCACCAATCGTCGCCGCCCATTCATTATCACCTTCTCTTACAGTAAGTTATTTCCGCTTCCTCTATCTTCGTTGCAAATTGAAAGTTTTTTTTTTTTTATAATTTAAAAGTACTACTTAATTTAATATTCCTTTACTTGGGTATTTTGCAGAATCCAAAAAAGAACTCTCAGTTGATAAGAAAAGACAGTTACTTGAACAATACGGTCTTAATCCGGATGAGTTCTTATCTGAACCTTCTCCAAAGGTATGTTATTTAAACCTCTCTGGAAAAAAAAATTGTTTCTTTTAAATAAATTAGGAAATGTGCCTGAATACCCTGTAATTTTTATATTTCATATGGCTAACCTTAATCAGATGGAAGTTGAGTTTTAGCTAATTAGTTGATATTAATAGTAGTGTTTTCATTGGAATTATAGACAAAAAAGAGAAGGGAACAATCCAAGAC